TTGAAGCTGGTGGGAACCAGGCTGGTTGTAAACCCCTTATCACAAACATCCCCATAGCAACCTTGAACTAATTTGTTTCTTCTTTTCTGAGACACTACTCTTTTCCCTGACAAGAGAGGAGCAGAAAGTAACTTGAGAAGTATTGCTCATTTAGGTATGCCTGCATCATCATATGAATACGTATGTGTTCTTTTTCCCTTCTCCTTCTTGTAGAACTCTATAAAGATCAGGGCATCCATTTTGCCTGCAGGGAAGGGTCTTCCACTAACCCTTGGTGGGGTTCCCCTCCAGTGCACACTGCCTAATAAACACTGCAGTGGAGACTCGATTATTTTGTATTTGTGACCTGCGTTTTGATTCCACAGGATCCGGATTCTAAGGTTTGCCAGGGCCTGCACAGCAGTGTGCTACACCAGTGTAAACCTACAAATCTTTCCTCCAACATAAATTCCTCAGCTGCTCCCAGTAACCATGCAGAAGATTTTCTTGCAGGAGATAAAAGCATCATGCCCTCTGTTCTTATTTTAATGATTTATTATGACTCTAGACAAGTTATGAAGTCAGTTTTGTACCTCCCCAAATTGGCATTTTTGGCCATTCTCATTCAATTTCATGGATTTTTTTTCCTTAAAAGAGAAAAATGTTGATGTTTGCATGATACAGAAAACTTACACTTATCTTGAAGATGGCAAAACCGTACAGGTAGTCCTTGTTTAGCAACCACAGTTGGAATCGGCAACTCGGTTGTTAAGCGAAGCGGTTGCTACTGCAACTGTGCTTATGATCTTACTTCAGCTTTCCTTTGTTTTACAGACCTGCAAAGGTCATAAATGTGAGGATTGGCTTTTTCATCACTGTTGTAACTGTGAATGGTTGTTAAACAAGGCAGTTGCTAAATGAGGATTACCTGTATATGCAAGTCTTTTGTTGATTTGTTCTCTCTCCAGTGATCTGCAGTTTCCCTAGATTTTATTTCAATCCAGTCCCAATGGGAGACATGTGGGTGCTCCTGTAATGAGCCTTAGATTAGGAAGCGGGATCACTAGGGAGAATATAGATTGCTGATTGTAATAAGCTCAAAACTGACCACAAGGCCAGAGTTTGCTGAATAAACTGCAATGTCTACTCATACAGAGTGCTAGGCAACAGTCTAAGAAACCATGTTTTTGCTTAGTTCAATGTGTAAAACAGTCATATTTTAACAGGAATTTAAATGATGCCCCTGGAACTCAATCTGGAATGATACATTAGGGAGCAAGGGAAAAAAGGATTTGAAACCGGCATTGAATGGCACTTGATAGAATGTAAAAAGCCCAACTTAGCTAACGTTTTGCAATTCAAGACAGATAACACATTATCATTTAGCATAAGATAGTTAAAACTGAGATATAAATTCATGTCGATGGCTTTACTTTCCAGGAACAGTAAATAAATTCCTGCTTAGAGCTGCTCTAAAAAAAATTAAGCAGGAATGTGGAATTAAAAATGTGAGTTCTTAAATCCTACATAGTAATGGCAATCAATGTCTACGAATAGAGCCACATGTACCAAAATAACAGTACCCACCCTGGAAGATGATATATCAGGAGGCCTGGAAGAAGGGCAAGATTTGCTAAAGCACGAAGGGTTTAGGATAAATTATCCTGAACAGCTAAATGAGGCCTAAACACACTCTGTGAATATGGCTGCTCATTGTTGAGAGGGGGAAAAAAAAAATTAGAGCAGATACAATAAGGGCCAGATGTAAAGGCAGACAGGACTCTGGTATTTTTACCAGTTGTGCAACAAGGTAGCGTTGGGCTCGATTTCTAGTGACTATTTTCTTCACAGTAATATGAAACTGCAATGCCTTTTATCACAATTTTTCAACTTTCCAGCCTAGGGGTTTCCTTGTAGTCTCCCATCCAACTATTAACCAGGTTCAAGCCAGTTTAGCTTTTCTGAGATCAGCCAAGTATTGCCATTCACTGTACAATCGGGTAGACAAAGGGAATTTCAGCAAGTCCAGCTTGTGGTGCAAGTTTCAAGGGTGGCGAGGCCCTATCTTTTTTTACATCAAAAGCACTATTGATCAAAACATTTTGCAGGTCCTGCATCTATCATCCAGTCTCTCCCTTTAATTTTTTTTTCCTAGCAAGAATCTTGAGGCAAATCTATGAGGTGGACTGATTTGGTACTGACCCATCCAGAATCTCCCTGCTTTATTCACCTGAGAAGGCTGGCACGCTAAATGTACATATAAAATAAATTAGAATCAGTGAAATATAGTGGATTAAGGCTGAATTATACTGAAGGTGGTTCCTTACTGCTGATTTAAAAATGCATAAAATACGTTGCCCTCCATTAGCCTTGGGGGGGGGGAGTGGGATGTCAAAAAAAAGTCAAGAGGATATGGCAGCACAACATACTTTTTTCTCCCTCC